TGATGCATAGGGTGTTATCCTTGATTTTATTGTCATGTACTACATATTGTGTGCTATGGAGATGTATGATGATAGAATGTAAATTTTAAAATGTGAAGAAATGTAAAAGAGTAGCATTAACCTGCTTTCATGTAGTACTTGATTATTCAATCAAATTGTTATGGTTTACTGTATTCTTGTACATTGTACACAAAAATATCTGATAAGAATTTAGGTTAACTTTGTTGTTGTTGTTGAAGTCCAATCAAAATTTAGGTCAACAATTATTTTCTGTTGAAGTCCAATCAGTAATACTTTGGGGCTCTGCGAAGTAAAGAAGAAAAAGGTCAATGGGAAGCCATTAGATAGCTTTTGGTTACATCTCACTTATTAGGAACTCAAGACATGTTCATGGAATTGTATTGTAGTATATGTAGTATACAAAAAATGTATTGTAGTATATGAAGACTTTGTACCTTCACCTTTTACTATCTTGACAGAGAGGCCTTGCTTCAGTTTCTTACTGCCCCAAGCCACTCTTTCATTGTTTTGTCAGTGTCCCATTCCTTTCTGTGTATCCTTGCCTCTAATCCTATTTCCCTCATCTACTTCTTATCCTCATCTCTAGTTGCCCACTCACCTTCCTTTTTATTTTTGACTCTTTTATCGCCCTGCTTCCTGCCCACTGAATATCTTCCCATGTCAACACACACATGCATGGAGCTGCCTAGAGAATTTTCTACTCACTCTAACAAGTCTTGACTGTGCAGTTTTTCTGATTATTTGTAATCCTCACAGACAAAAACATCAAAGAGTGCTTATAGGGGACCAGCAGGTGGTAAGGTGCTGAACACTCTCACATGGCTGACCATGGTTCGAGTCCCAGACCTGGTGGCTTGCTTTCTGCTTTCTCACTTCCCCAATCTGTCTGTCTGTCTGTCTCTGAGTGTGCGTGTCTGGTCAAATTAAAATAAATGAATGAATACATAAAATTAAATAAATAATTCTTAAAAAAAAAGTGCTTAGAAAGCTTTCTTGTTCCATTGGTAGTATGGTGATTTTTTTAAAAACTGAAGTATAATGTGTATACAGTAAGATCCATTCTTTCTTCATAGTGTTTTATGAGTTTTGACATATTTTTACAGTTGGGCATCCACCAATGTGATCAAAGTAGAGATTTGGGCTCACTTTTATGATCTTCACTTAACCTTAATTTGTATTTTTGAAAATCCCATTTTTAAATAGTCACACTGTGAGGTACTGGGGATTATGGCATCAACAACAGGGACCAGCAGGTGGCATGGTGGTTAAGACGCAGGACACTCCCACATGGCTGACCAGGGTTCAAGTCCTGAATCTGGTGGCTTGCTTTCTCACTTTCTCTCTCACTCTCACCCTCTGTCTCTGTCTGGTAAAAAAATAAATAAATAAGTAATTAAAGAATAAAATAATTATTAAAAAAAAAAGACATCAACAACATATGAATTTTGGGAAGACACAGTTCAGCCTATAATACCCAATTGAAAAACTAGTCAGTGTCAAAATGTAGGTTTTCTAACACTGTACTGCAGCACTTTCTGTCATCAACAAAATGTTCCATATCTTCGCTGCCCGGTATGGTAGCTAGGGGCCGAATATGGCTGAAGGGCGTGAAATGTGCCTCATGTGACTGAGAAGCACAGTTTTTAACTTTAGTTTTGAGCAGTTGAAATTTAAATGGCCACAGGAGGCTGGTGACTAACATTTGGACAGTACAGATTTCAGTTCATCTCTTCATTTAACATAGGAAGAACTGAGGATCTAAGTGGTTGAGAGATGGGTCCAAGGTCACACAGAAAATTATTGAACTAATTGTAATGTAGGCTGAGTTCTCAAATTCTTAATGGATCTTTCTATCTATAAAGTATAAAATAAAATTTAGAGAAATAAAATATAAAGTACCTTTGTCATTGTTCTGCTCCTGCTATAAAGACATGTGGTTGTATAATTTTTTTTTAAGAGAGATTTTTGCTATTGGGTGTGTGCGCTTGCTGGAGAGACAGAGACAGAAAGCGAGAAATCACCCCTGGGGGGATGGCCATGCTGCAGTCCCTTCTCTCCAGTCTCCTCTCAGGATTTTGGGCACGCACATACATGAGTTTTAAGCCACCAGATCCAGGAATAGAACTGTGGTCGACTACATGGGAGTCCCGCGATGTAAACATTTGCCATCTACTGGTCCCGTAGTTGTATAATTTTAACAAATAGATAATGAAAGTACATATTCAAAATCATTTTTGTTCTCTTTAATACTTAAAGGAGTGTAATATTTGTATATAATACATGTTTAAATTAGTTCAGTAAGATTTAAGTTGTGGGTCAGCTGGTGGCATAGTGATCAAGGTGACTGGACCCCACATGATTAGCTGCATAGTCACACAGGCCTGGTGACTTGAGAAACATGCTGGGTGTGTATGCGTGTGTGCCCAAAGTCCCAAAAGGGGAAATGGAGAAAGGATTGTGGCATGACTATTCCCCACGAGGGGTGCTTTCTTAGTCTCTCTTTCTCTGGCAAGCATATATACTCTCTGGTAAATTTTTTTTTTTTTTTAATTTCAATTGTCTAGGGGGCCAACAGGTAGCACCGTATTAAAGGCACTGGACTCCTGCATGGCTAGCTGCAGTTGGCGTCCCGGATCTAGTGGCTTGAAAATCACACCAGGCTCTTGTGTGTGCATGCATGCTCCAAATCTCAAGAATAGAGGACAGGGGATTAAGGCGTGGTCACCTCCCCTAGGAAGTGATTTCTCACTTTTCTTCTCACTGCCTCTCTATCTCTGTCTCTCTCTCTCCCTCCCTGGCAAGCTTATGTACGCCATGGCAAAAACCTTTAAAAAAAAATCAGTTGTCAGATTGAGAGATTCTTTTAAATTAAATTCAGGGTTCTGAAGGGAAAAAATTGGTAGATGGTTTTTTAAAAATATGTAATTCAATTAGAGCAGGTAAAATTGATACATGCTTTTGCTCAGAAATCTAAATCTGAGAAAAATCACTCCACAAAAGAAAAGTTAGAAAAGAGCTATAAGTGGTTTAATTAATAGCTTAGCTTACTGTTTTATTCTGTCCTTTCATGCATGTTTTAAAGTTTATTTCTTCCATGAGGACACGCACACACAGAGGCATAAACACCCTCAATAGGGTCTCATTCTGTAATTTTTCTTCTAACCCAGCTTTCACAACCAGCTAGGATCATGGACATGCACCGTATTCTGGTGGTACACAAGCCAACCCCAGGAACCAAACCTCAATTCTCCATGTGGCTTCCAGCATTGCAGAGAATTTGTGGCGCTGCCCCACTGTGCCTGAGCCTGTCTTCTCATGTTTTGATAAGATTTTCTTACATAGTAAACTTTAGATGCATTTTTAACTTATCACTTTAAACTAATTTTAGACTTAAAGAAAGGTTAGAAAAACTGTAGAGTCCACGTATACCCTTTACCAACTTCACTTTGTATTAGCATCTTATGTAACTGCAGTATAATGATCAAATTCAGAGAATTGGCATGATAGGCTACTACTAACTAAACCTCAGTTTTCACCAATGTCCCTTGTCTGTTCTGTGAACTTATACAGATCCCCCGGTGTATTTATTTATTTTTTCTTCTTCTCTATTACATTCCTGTCTTTCATTTTTTTCACACTTTTGAAGGATTTCCATCAGTTAATTTGCAGAGTGGGCCTCCGTTTAGGTTTATGTGATGTTTTCTCATTATTTGACTAAAGTATGCATTTTTGGCAAGAATAGCACAGGAATGATCTTGTGTCCTCTCCATGCAGCATATCAGGGGTTCATGATGTGATATGTATTATTCTGTAATGAGCTTTAGAAATTTGATGATGGAAACTATACTTGCTGTTATGTAATATATATTAATGCTACTATAAAATATTAATCCATCAAAACCACTTGCTCTGTGATGAAAATAACATACCAAACACAAAAATGGTGATTAAAGAAAGCTGTAAGCAATACTAATTAGTTAATGGGATGAGGTTAGTAGAATTTCACTAATAGAAATGAACTGTTCAATGAGAAAGAGAAACAACCTTTTTCTTTCAAATGAGGCAGTTCTTTCTTTATTGGGAAGTTAAGAAAGGAATTACCAAGAGAGGGGTCTTCCCAGTTAATAGAATTGCCTTTGTAATAGAAAATGGTCTTTACTGAGATACTTTTTTTTTTCAGAGATTTTTCTATAGGGCGCGTGCGCTCACCAGCCAGACAGAGACAGACAGAGAGATAGAAAGCGAGAAATCACCCCCCAGAGGGGATGGTCATGCCACAATCCCTTCTCCTCCATTCTCCTCTTGGGATCTTGGGCACACACGCACACGTGCCCGGCGTGAGTTTAAGCCACTGGGTTGGGGACTCGAATCGTGGTCGACTAAGTGGGAATCCAGCGACATAGCCATTATACCAACTGCTGGTCCCAACTGAGATACTTATTTCTATGTAACTTTTCAAATAGAACATTAAATGAGAGAAAAAATTATTGCTTTAGTCTTCTATATCTGATACTGGAATTATGGCAGAACTTTAGTCATTAGAACCAATTCCTGGGCCTAGCCTATTATATAAAATCAATTTTATTGCAGCAAATTTTAAAAATTTTGGCATTTAAATATTCTGAATAAGATGAAATAAATAGCCCCAGCCTGGTGGTATAGTCGGTAGTAGACCAGATTGTATAGCTGGAGGTCACATGCCAACTGTGGCTTGAGTCCTGGCCCTGAGCACGTGCACATGCCCAGGATCCTGGCTGGCTGGTGGGCTGGCGAGCTGGAGGACTGGAGGAAGTGGGACTGCGGTGTGAATGAATCCCATGGTTCCTCTTTCTCTCTTTCTGTCTGTCTCATGTGTATACACACATTCTATTGTGAACGTTTTTAGACCAAAAACCCTGTAATAGAACTAAGGATTGCTGTCCCTTCAAAGTATCAATATGCAGTGTAATGGATAGAATTTTCTTTTTCTTTCTTTTTAGTTCAGCAATCAGCAAACACTGGGAGGCTGAACTGGCTACCCTCAAAGGAAATAATGCCAAACTCACTGCAGCCCTGTTGGAATCCACTGCCAATGTGAAACAATGGAAACAGCAGCTTGCTGCATATCAAGAGGAAGCAGAACGTCTGCACAAGCGGGTCAGTTCAGGGCCCCTGCCTGTAGGCACTCAGGGATAACGGGTTTCCTTGGTGAGAGCACATGTACAGGTACTGAAATAGATTCAGCACAGGGACATCTGGGGAATACTGATTTTCAAAACATATCTGTCTATCTATCTGTCTAAATGTATGTTGTAGTATATGGGTTGTCTGGCTAAGAAAAATATTTTCAACAGGTTAATGAAAACGAAGAATATGTAGCATTTGAAGTCGAAAGACCTAATCACAAATTTCAGTTCTGCCACTTAACTAGTTTTATCCCCTTTGGTAAATTATCTCCTACTTTCAGTTCAATGTTCTTATCTATAAAATAGATGTAGAGTTCTCATTCATTGAGATACTTAAATGACATGTAGTTGCACTGAGTCAAAAATACATATTTATACAATTTATGTAAAAATCGAGACACTTAAGTAGCCTAAGTTACAATGAGTCAGTGAGCTGCTGTCATTTTTATTACTTTTTTTTTTTTTAAGAAACAAGTTGAGGGACTCCCAAATAGTCAACTGCAGTTTGCATCCCGGACCCGGTGGCTTAAACTCACGCTGGGTGCGTGTGCGTGCATGCCCAAGATCCCGAGAGGAGAATGGAGGAGACGGGATTGTGGTGTGGCCATCCCCCCTGGGGAGTGATTTCTCGCTTTCTGTCTCTCTGTCTCTCTCTGTCTGTCTGGTGAGCACACATGCCCTATAGCAAAAAACCTCTCAAAAAAAAAAAAAAAAAAAAGAAACAAGTTGAATAATACAGGTAGAAAAAATTTTTAATAAGAGTTAATAGTAGCGGGACCAGCAGTTGACGTAATGGCTATATCGTTGGACTCCCATGTAGTCAAACATTGTTTGAGTACTGGGCCTTGTGGCATAAACTCAAGCCGGGCGCATGTGCATACGTGCCCAAGATCCCAAGAGGAGAATGGAAGAGAAGGGATTGCAGCATGGCCATCCCCCCAGGGGTGATTTCTCACTTTCTGTCTCTCTCTGTCTTTCTGGTGAATGTACGTGCCCTATAGCAAAAAACCTCTCCAAAAAAAGAGGAGAGAAAAAAACCTTAATAGTAGCAATCTGAGGCAGAAAAACAAAATAAAAAATTCTAATACCATTAGTATCAGAGGCCCAGACAATTATAAGGAATTTTTAAAAATTCAGAACATAGAAAGACATTCATCAAACAGGAACCAGGTGCCATTAATTTCCCTTTTTAAAAAGGATGCCAAGGAGTGAACTCCACAGACAATAAGGAATGGGATTATTCTAACAATGTATTTTGAAGAATATAATAGAACTGGATAACAGAAGAAGTAAGGTAAAGAAGGGATACAGACAGGGAGGGAGAATTAGAAACCTGCACCAATATCATTCTATCCTGTGTTTAAAAATTAACATGTGACAGGAGATAGGGAAAAGAATTGTTTAATGGGTATAGGCTTTTAGTGTTATAAGATAAAAGTTATAGTGATCTGTTTCACAATGGTATGAATATATATGAAAGGTTTTTTAAAAACCTCATGGAAAATTCATATTATTAAAAACCAAGCAAATTGCAAACAATTTTGGCTCCAGACTAACTTCTACTTTAATCCCATTTTCCACGAACTTTTTGAATTCTCTTCATACTGAATACTACTGAACTGTACACTTAGAAGTAATTAAGATGATAGATTTTTATCTTTTTCACGTCAATTTAAAAAACTAACCGCATGGAAGTCACAGCCAATAAATATTCACTAAAGAACTATCAAGTCTCCTCTGTATTATATACTGTCTACCCTTAAGGAATTCTCACTTTAAATAATGGAATATTAAAGAGCTTAAGAAAAGAAAGAAACGGCATCTTTTTATTTGTTCACTTATTTATAATTTCTAGTGCTCTTTTTTTCTTTCTATGGATCTGAATTTCCACCAGGTTTCATTTCCCTTCAGCCAGCATTATCTTTCTTTAGCACATTTGTCTACTCTGAGGATATTGGCGACAAAGTATCTGAGCTTTTATTTAGACACATTTTGGTCTTGATTTTAGGTCATGTTTTCCTAGTTTTTCGCATGTCTAGTCATTTTTAATTGTATATTGGATGTTGTAAATGAGATGTAGAGTGCAGTTGTGTTCTTTAAATAATGCTGATCCCTTTGTTTCAGCAGGCAGTCAGATTGCTTGTGGGTTACCTTGAATTTGTGGAGAGATGGATTTATGCTTCATTAGAACGGATTTATTTCAATTGTGTCTTGATCCTTGGGTAAATCATTTAGTCCTAGTAAACCTTTCTGTCTGAGACATAACCCTTTTGCGGGTTCACCAGAAAGCTTGGGTGTTTATCAAAGCCCGCTAATCTGGCAGGAATGGAACTGTAGATGTCCTCTGTGGTGAGCACCGCCACAGTTTGGCTCCTTTAATCTTACATCTGAGTTCTTTCAGTCTCCCAGCGTTTTTCCCACTGTCCTGGACTACTTGAATTTGAACCTGTGCATGTTTAATTGAAGGGTCATCTACAGATTTGTGGGAAGCCAATATATTTATTTGCACGTCTTCCTTTCACACAAGTATCTCAGTTTCTAGCTAGTCTACTGTTTTGAGGAGTCTCAAAAATCTTCAAGTGTCTCAGGAAAATAGATTATGGGTTTCTCCTTAATTTAACTTCAGTCAGGTAGCACAACCAGATGGCAAAGTGCCCTCCAGCAAAAAAAAAAAAAAAAAGTATAAATGTGTGTGCGTGTGTGTGTGTGTGAGTGTGTGTGTGTGTGTGTTTTAAGGTTTTCCGCATTTAGGGCATAGGTGCTCACTGGAAAGAGACCAGAGACAGTGCAAAATCACCCAGAGGGGATGGCCGTGCTGCAATCTCTTTTCCTCCATTTTCTTCCTGAGATTTTGGGCACACACTACACATGTCTGGTGTGATTTTTAAACTACCTGGTCTAGGATTCGAACTGCTGTTGGCCTTGTGGGAGTCCTCCAAACCACTTCTCCACCTGCTGGCCCCTAAATGTGTATTCTACCCAATGTGACTCCTTCAATCTTTTGCCTGGTTTGATTACTCAAACCAGGATCTTTAAACGGTTTGCTTTGACATTTTACCCACAGTTTGCAATTGTTATCAGTGGGAATGTTATTCTAATTGAAACTATTATTACCAAAACTGGAGTTTCCCTTAAGGAACTTATCATCTAATTGGATAAAGGAAACTAATGCATATCAAATAATGAAGAAGTAATTCTTGAGATTTTTAAACAGTTTTTCTGTTCAGTATTGTGAACCAGAGGACAGAAAGGTTTTGAGGGCTTAAGCAGAGATGAATAGCTTTCTGAATAAAGTATGTGTTGAGTGGAGAGTTGAGGATTTGGTCGATTCTGACTGTTTTTCAGAGACAAGAGAGAACATTCTGCTTAAGTCAGTGAACGTGATTTATTGCCATGAATATGGTTTGTTCATAGGACAAGGAGACTTGTGTGCGTTTAGTTAGAAGGATACGCCAGGGGTCCTAGGCTATGAGGATGGTTAAATAGGCCAGCATAAGCCTAAGGCCACTAACCAAAGGATCTGAGAGTTTAGAGTTAATACTGTAAAAACATGAGCCATGACTGCTTGGGGAGAGCCTGCTGTGTATCCCGATCTGTGATAACAGTGTGTGTGTGTGTGTGTGTGTGTCTTTGTGTTCACTACTGTCTGTACTGACTGTTTTAGGATAGAGTAGCTTCTAAGGACAGTGCCTTTCTGTGTTCTCTTAAAAAATATTAAGTGCTCCTTAAAAATTATATTTCTTGTCGGGCCCCTCAGTAAATTCTTTTTTATTTTATTTAATTTTTTTTTTGGAGAGGAAGAGGTTTTTGCTATAGGGCACATGTGCTCCCCAGAAAGACAGAGAGACAGAAAACGAGAAATCACCCCTAGGGAGGATGGCCATGCCGCAATCTCTTCTCCTCCATTCTCCTCACAGGATCTTGGGCACACACGCACATGCGCCTGGTGTGAGTTTAAGCCACCGGGTCCAGAACTCGAACTTCAGTTAACTACGTGGGAGTCCAGCAACATAGCCATTATGCCAACTACTGGTCCCCCCTCAGTAAATTCTTATTGACTAAAGAACTCTTAGGTCTTCCATAAGAAGCACTGCTGATATAAAGTCATTCTCCTATTGGAAGAGTTCAGTTGTATTTTAAGTGTATCTTTTCTTCGAGATTCTCTTACATTTTGGAAATGTATTTGAGAAAATTTTCACTCCTGCAAGGCCAGTTTTCAGAACTCGCTTTCAATTTGAAGGCTAAAGCTGTAGGGCAGATGGCTTTCTTAGAAATGTTTTCAGAAGATATTTTTAAAGATTTTCATTGTAGGAATTCTGTACTATTAACCACTTAATTTGAGTTTTCTTAACCTGTAAATAATAATTTCCTATGGTCTTTTTCTCTTCTCTTAAAATTTTTTAAAGATTTTTTGCCATAGTGTACATGTGCTTGCTGGAGAAAGAGACATAAAGGGAAAGTGAGGAATCACTCCCTTAGGGAGGCTAACCATGCCAAAATCCCTCCTCCATTTTTCCCCCTTGGGATCTGGGGCACGCATGCACATGTACCTGGATTGTTTTTCAAGCCACTGGGTCCAGGACTTGAACCAGAGAGTCAGCCATGTGGGATCCAGTGCCTGAGATCTAGTGCCTTAATCACCATGCCACCTTCTGGCCCCTTAAATTTTTTTTTTTTTGGAGAAGTTTTTGCTATAGGGCGTGTGCGCTCACCAGACAGACAGAGACAGAGAGATAGAAAGCGAGAAATCACCCCCCAGGGGGGATGGCCACACCGTAATCCCTTCTCCTCCATTCGCCTCTCAGGATCTTGGGCACACACGCACATTCGCCCAGTGTGAGTTTCAAGCCACTGAGTCCAGGACACAAACCGCAGTCGACTACATGGGAGTCCAGCGACATAGCCATTACGCTAACTGCTGGTCCCTGGCCCCTTAAATTTATAATTTTAAAGAATTGATTCATTCTATCCTGTCTTCATATTTCTGAACATTGATTTTCATATATTGATTTTAAATGCATTCTTCACTGACCAGGGGCTGATTAACAAGAAATGCTTTGAATTTGTCAATTAATTTAACTGGATTCTCATTTAATTTTAGGTGACTGAACTTGAATGTGTTAGTAGTCAAGCAAATGCAGTGCACACCCATAAGACAGAATTAAATCAGACAATACAAGAACTGGAAGAGACACTGAAAGTGAAGGAAGAGGTATTTGTTACTTTTCACCCATTTGCAATCTAGTGAATATATGTGTACAAAATATAGTTTTAGAGTCTGGGTCACATTTGAAGGTATTTTGTGGACTAAAAGTATGGTTGTGGGCTTTTTCCTTTAGGATGTAAAACTTTTCTTGAGACATGGTTCCTATCTCTTTCGTTATTGTTTCTGTTGTGAACTGTGGTGAGGCTGACTGAGGTGCTACTTGTAGCCTTCCTACAACCAGCAGAAACCCATTAGAGGTTACATGAATTTTATATGTTGTTGCTTTATCTACTTTCAGTCAAAAGCTTTAATATCCTAGGAAAGAATTATCTCCACAAAGCTTGAAACAACCTTAAAATGTTCAGAGTGTTGTTTCTAAGCAGTGCTACATGAAAGCCACTGATTTAGACTTGTTTGTTGCTTAAGATTATTCTGTTTGTGACAGCATACTTATAAAGAGATTAATTCATTCCTCTAAAAGTCAGTATAAAGGAATTTTTTTTAAATCACTTTTTTCTAAGAACTGGAACAACAATTTTAGGGAAAAATATTTTCCCTTTCCTTAATGTAGCTTAAATTTGTGTTAAAGACATTGTTCTGCCTTTTCTAGGAAATAGAAAGATTAAAACAAGAAATCGATAACGCCAGAGAACTACAAGAACAGAGAGATTCTTTGACTCAGAAACTACAGGTGAGCTATAATAACATTTTTTATTCATTTCTGCATAGAAAGGTATTAGTCATTCTTTCACATAGTAATGTCTTTTTTTCCTGAAACTCTATTTTGTAAGTTTTGGTCATTTTTCTTTTCCAGGACTTTTGATTTATGCCCAATCTCTGATTTTTCAAAAATTACCTGGTAACTTTATCTCAGTAGCTTTTAATCATCATAGGTGGACATTTATAAATTGTCCTTAATAAATGATTTTGGAAACTTCTGCTTTGAACATAAAAAATATTTCACATGTAAGGAAAAATTTCATAGTCGATTTCATTCATATTAGAAATTCTGCTCAATTGTTTACACAAATTATAGCAGTAGTTATGTCCTAATAGAACTCAAGGTAGTGCTGTTTTTCTTTATTTCGTCTAATCATTCTTACTTTTTTCTGTGTGAATAGTATACTTTGTGAGTCTAGTTTACTTGCATACATCCTATGTCTGTGGTAGTTAGACGTGGTTAAGAGAAGAATTTTCAGAATTTATTGCCGAAGTCCTCTTTTGCTAGCTCAAGCACTTTTTTTACACCCTCGTGGCTAGCACTCATTAAAGAAGGTTTGAGACCATTTTAGGACAACTTTGGAGAAGGAATAGTGTACATATTGGATCAGGAATTTGGGATAAGGTGTGATGAGAGGGACCTGCAAGCCCAGGATTCGAAGGAGGACCTATTGCAGATTATAGTAATGGCCAGCATGTGTCTAGTGCATGCTGTATACCAGATACTATATAAGCATTTTACTTACACATGCACTTAGTCCATGTATCAGTCATCATAACCCTGAGGAAGAACTCAGGTTTGGAGAGGTTAACTTGTCCAGCCTATATTTAAATGGAGATGGTAAAATTCTAAAGCTTATTATATCCTTGATCACCAAAATGTAACAGTAGAGACCCCTCATAAAATAAACAAGTTCCCTATATGAAATAATTCCTCTCTGTCTCTCTCATCACTGACTTTTGGCAATCTGTGAAAAATAAGATGGCTTGTTTTGGCTTGGTCTGTTGAATTTTGTTTCAAACATTTTAATTGCCTGTGTGGGTTAGTGGTCCTCCACTGGGGCAGTTTTGCACCCAAGGGGATAATTAGCAACATGTGAAGACATTTCTTTTTAATTATCAGAAGGCACTTGTACTCATGCGAAAGAGAGAGAATACCCCAATCGGGTGTGGTAACATTGCCGTTCCTTCTCCTACATTTCTTCATCCTCTTGGGATCTGGGGCATGTGTGCACACAACCCTGATACGGTTTTGAAGCTGCAAGAGCCAGAATTCAAACTGTGCTCAGCCATGTGGGATCTGGTTCCCTTAACCAATAGTTTAACCACTAGGCTGGCTTGGCAATTTTTATTTTCACAGCTGGGTAGGGGTGTGGTTCCTACTGACATCTAGTAGGCAAAGCAGGTCTTGTTCTAAACATCAGATTGTCCAGGCCCAAAATGTCAGTAGTGCTGAGTTCGAGAAATTCTGGTGTAGAACTAAAATATGTAGCTTGGAGTCAGGGCTGCAAGGAAGAGGGAAAATTCAGTCTGGTTTTTGTTTTCTGTTTTTTGGTTTTTGTGTACTTAGAATGATTCAGGCATATGCTAAGAAAGCACTTACATACATTAGCTCTAATTCTCACACTAAGGATATCCCTGTTTTCACAGAGAAGACAGTTCAGAGGTGTTAACAAGTTTAATTAAGCACTTAGCTAGAATATACTGTAGCCTAGATTTGATTGATTCCAAAGTCTCTGTTCTTTCTGCATTTTTTCCCCCACACGTTTCAAGCAACAGTCGCCCAAGCCATCACTAATGATTCTTTTTAAATGTTTTCCAGTTATACATACATTTACATTGTCCTACTTATGAGGGCAAACCAAGAGATGATTTATTCACATCAAAGTTTTTTTTTTTTTGATAGGTTTTCACTAGAGGGCACGTACGCTCGCCAGAAAGAGAGAGAGAGACAGAGATAGAAAGCAAGAAATCACCTCCAAGGGGGGATGGCCATGCCGCAGTCCCTTCTTCTCCATTCTCCTCTCGGGATCTTGGGCACGCACGCATACACGCCCGGCTCGAGTTTAAGCCACCGGGTCCAGGACTTGAACCGCGGTCGACTACCTAGGAGTCCAGCGACACAGCCATTACGCTAACTGCTGGTCCCCCACATCAAAGTTTTATGTTAATACTTCTAAGTGTATTTTATCGTTGATTGAGCAGTAACTGAATTGTACAGCTGGCACCTGAATTTATGAATATCATCTCTTAGTCTTTATTTTTACCAGAGGGTGCATGTACTCACTGACGAGAGAGAAGGAGAGAGAAAGTGAGAAAGCAATCTCCCTCTCTCACCATGAGGAATGGTCATAGTGCAATCCCTTCTCCTCCATTTTTCCCTTATTTTGGGATTTTGGGCACACATGCACACACAGTATCTGTGTTTCTCAAGCCACCAGGTCTGGGACCTGAACCATGCAGTTGACCATGTGGGATCCAACCACCTTAACCACCATGCTGTGATTTGGCCTAGTTCTTATTCTTTCACTGAATATCAAAATAATTGTCAAAAACAGTTTACCTAGGACAAGACAGGGAAGCTTTTAGAAAACCTGAGAATTAATTCTGAAAGACCAAACCACAGGCATATCTTACCTTTTTTCCAGTTTGGAAATAGGCTGGTCCCTCCCACTCAAAATCTTAACATCTAATCAAAAGTCTTAACATCCTTGAACCTCCATCTAATTTCAGTCAAGAAATTTGGAATATTATTCCTTGAATGGTAAAAGAAATTCTGAAATTGTAGTCCATGGTGATGGATTGGAAGTATGAGTACAGATTAAAAAAATCATAGTTATTGCTAAATTAAGGATATTTTGATATAGTATTTATGATTTTCAAGTTTTGGATAATTAGAGATATTTGAATATTTCTACCTATCAATGTAGTGTGCTCATTTTCAAATTTTTTTTAGAAAAATTCAGATAAATATACTTAGCATCAAAAAAATCATTCACGCCAGGCGCATGTGCATGCGTGCCCAAGATCCCGAGAGGAGAATGGAGGAGAAGGGATTGCGGCGTGACCATCCCCCCTGGGGGGTGATTTCTCGCTTTCTGTCTCCATGTCTCTCTCTGTCTGTCTGGCGAGCGCACACGCCCTACAGTGAAAATCTCTCAAAAAAAAAAAAAATCATTCGTTATTCCATCATCCTAAAGCTAATCATCATCCCTGGCATTTGTTTTTCCCAGTGTTTGTTTAGATAGTATTTTCTTTACATGAGACATATATAGATAACATTTTTTACCTTGCTGTCATAAATTAATATTATGTCATATCAGTAGGTGCATAGTATTTTCCTGTAAAGATGTACCATAGTTTCTTCTTATTCTTGCATGTGTGGTAATTCATTTCTAGTGTAATATAATAATGATGTCACAATGAATTGTACCTAAATCTTTGTCTTTCTGATTTTTTAAGATGAATTTTTTTTTAACGAATTGCTTGATGTCACCATTTTAAATTTTTTATGCAGAGAAATTGATGTCTTAAAGGTCAGGAGACCTACTGGATATTGGTCTCTACCCATCTTTGTTATGTCAAAGGAAACAAAAGAGTAGCCCACTTTTAAAAAAATCTTCTTAAAAGACTTATTTATTTATTTAACTCCTTTTGTTATTATTTTTTAATTTTACCAGAGAGAGAGAAAGGGGAAGTGAAGAAGCAAGCTGTCAGATCCAGGACTCAAACCATGGTCACCCATGTGGGTGGGAATCTAGTGCCTTAACCACCGCACCACCTGCTACTCCCCAGTTTTCTTTTTTTTTACTGTTATTTTTCACTTTGAGTAAGACTAAGCAGTTTTTCAAATGTTTATGGTCATTTATCTTCTTTCTGTCGCCTTCACGTGGAAGGCACTAAGTGCATTTTTACCTTAGAGATACAGAGTATCCTTACAGAATTGTAAGCACCTCCCTCTCCTCCCCAGCTCCCCGCCTCCCTCCCATCTCCCCAGTCTTCAGGTGACTGGCTTCCACTTGTAATTTAGGTCTCGATTCAGGTGTTAATTTCTCTGATTTACCAATTTAAGCACTATGTGCAGGTCCCTAGCACCACCCCAGGTATTCTTTGTAATATAATTTTGTTTAGGGTCAGCCAGTGGCCTGGTGGATCCTGCATGACTGACTGCATGGTTCAAGTCCTAGACCCAGCACCTTGAAAAAACACACCAGTTGCCTGTGCCTCTGTGCCCAAAAGGAGAAATGGAGGAGAAAAGTTACAGCCTGACTATTTCCCGCAGGGGGTGGGGGTGGGGGTGGGGGTGAGGGCTCACTTTCCCTCTCTCTTTGTGTCTCTCCAGCAAGCACACGCAGCCTCTGGCAAATTTATAAAGAACTTACTGTTTTTTGTCTTTCTTCTCGTGCTTCTCACTATCTGAAATTATCTTGTTTGTTTGCTTCCATTTTATTTTTAAACTTTTTATTTTGAAATAACTTCGTCCTTATAGAAAACTTGAAAGAAACAAAGATTTTCATATACCATTCGCCTACATTCCCCAAATGCTAACATTTTTGCCATATTTGTTTTATTATCCTAGGTCTTTATAAGTATAAATATAATGTTTTTCCTGAACTGTTTGAAAATAAGTTACAGATATCCTTTACCTCTAAATACATCAATACATAGTTTCTAAGAATAAAGACATTCTCTTACAGAACCATCTTCTATCTATAGATCTCAGTCAAATTTCCATAATTGTCCTAATAACCTCTCTTATAAAAATATTTAATTACTTTTCTGGCCCAGGTTTTATTCCAGGTTCACTCATCCACTTTGTCATCTCTCCTTATTTCCATGTCCCAGACACCCCAGATGTGGCCAGTGGGATCCCCTTCACTCTCATATTTGTGTCTTTTCGATGTGACCCAGTCATTTTTTGAATAAATTTTCATATTCTAGTACAGTCAGACATTCCAGGCTCATCTTATG